GGGTAAATCCACTAATGCCAATCAAATAATGCTTCACTAAACTGCTGTGAGAGAAGAATCAAGCTTCAGGCTCACAGTCTAAGTCTAACCACTAGATTATTCTCCCTATCTGTTATACTACAGTCCAGGCAGTTGATGGAAGGCCTTTTGGCGTTTTGGTTTTAATAGCATAGGGTTAAAGAAAAAAATATGAGGAAAAATTAAACATGAATGTCCATGTTTTCCTTCTAAGCAGCAGCTCTTCTGGAACCATTCTTACTACAGCTGCACAGCATGAGAACCCTCATTTTCTGCACCTCTGTACCACCTAAGACAACTCCAGTCCTTTAGAGCCCCTTGCATTCCTAACACTTCAGTTTATTTTTTCAGAGCCTTAAACCATTGATGGCTGGCATGATGAATCTCACTGCTGCAGAGGAAGCAATTCAGCACATTACACACTCAATACATTCAATATTTATGAAACTTCTAATACATACATAATCCTTGAGTATGCAATACTGCTATCTGCTAAAGTTCTCAAGATAGTTCTTAAAAAGTACTTCCGATGGATGCACCCTTTCTTCAAGGTTAAAATACCAGGAGAAAATAGTTATAATTTCAGACTAAGAGCAGTGCTCAGGAAAGTGGACAACAGCATTTATTGATCGCAGTGAGCGTCATCCATAGTTTTGCTGAAGTCAACAGGATTAATTTTTTTGGTTTCAGCCAGGCCTGATCCTGGAATGGAGGAAAAGTTTCCATTGACTGGAACCGGTGTTAGATTTGACCTATACTACAGGTAGTTTTTTACAAGTACCTCATGCAAACTAATGAATTAATTTCATTTTGAAACTGCGATAGACTCTTTTATATGTATTACAAATCATCCACTAGTATTCTGAAATACTGCGAGTTGTAATGTGGTTACATGGGATATACAGCATGTATCAATGGGAGACCCTCACACTTCATGTCAATTTGGACTTACCTAATTCACTCCAAGGCAACAGAGATGATTATCAGTGCAGGGCCTTCTGTGGCACTATCCCATGTTGGAACACCTTGGAAATGAAAGCAGAATTAAAAACATTTGCTGTTTTTACAGATTTCCATAATTCAAAAGACTTCTTTTGCTTTGCTTGAAATCTGCAATTTCAGAGCACCTAGTACCAGGGTGAAAGGCACAGGCAACTTCTACTTCTGATCCCTCTTTTCCAAATCTACATTTACAGCCAAATTGCAAACCTTTGGACACAGGTGTTTGCGAAGAAAGTACTGGCACACCTTAAGCCAACACCATAAACCCCACTGCTGCAGCACTTACACGTACAGCAGAAGTGGAAGTGATTCCCATTCTATTTGCAATTCAGCCACACCAAGTAACAATGCTTGTTCTCAGTGAAATGTAGAAAATAAAATAGGGTTTGAAGTTACCCAGCATCTCTGGACGTGAGAATGGTATAGGAAAAGAGGCCAAGCACAACAGCACAATTCCTTTGAAGCTCTTCTGCTTTTTGGAGTTAATTAAAAGTTGGCTGAGAGGTTTTCCTCTCCCTTTTTTCCTGTGTGTCTCATCTTGAGCCTATATGGCAGGTGTTGCGGAGCAAGTCTCAGCAGCACCCACTGGATACCCTTACTTCCTTGCATTTGCAAGTATAACTTAATCTCTTTTAAACAGTGAGAGCAGATAGGAAAGACTCTGACTTGGGCAGATACCAGGGCAACTAAAATTACCAGACTGTATGTAAACAACATGAATCGACCGTCAGTAACCTCTGCTAGAACATAATTAGAAGAAACACATACATATTTTTTCGGTGTATATAAATTAAGGAGTTTCTGTCAAGACAGTAGATTTGTATTTTTCAATATAGGCCTGAATTAAGTCTGTTGTAAGAGCACAGTATATGTCCTAGAGCTGCCTAGTAGGCCCACTTTGTGGTCTTGTGGCCTTGTTTCTAACTCTCGTGGGGTCAGTTCACCTCTCCTCATCCTTCCTCTTCCTGACCAGTGCTGAGGAGGGCATTGAGAGCCACGGGCACGATCCCTGTACGCCTGTTCCCTGCTGTTGTGCTTGGCGTTGAGGCAGCGAAGGTTTGAGAAGCACTTTAAGCAGAGGCTTGACACCGTATTGAGTTGCTGGAGAGGGGAGAGAGTGCGAGTTTCTCAGAGCATTGCACAAAAGCTGAAGTAGATATTACTGCATTAGGTCTGCTCCCAACATGTTTAGTCTTCTTCAGCAACTAAAAAAGCTGAAAATTTACCGCTTAAAAAATTGAGATGCTGTGACTCCAGAAACCTAGAGCCTCCAATGCATACGCTTAAGCCAGACCTGTTTTCTAAGAAGTAATTCAGATGCTCTTCTCCAGAGCTTCTTGTGCCTTAGGGGGAGCACAGAAGGAAGCCCCTTGGGCACTCGCGTTGAGGTGCAGTATGGGCTCGAAGTGTTAAAATGTAGAAGACTTAACCAGTGAAATTAAGAATTAACCAGCATCCTTTTAATCATGCTAAACGTTAGTTTTCTTGCTGCCTATGAAGTGAGAGTGTCTCCTCGTCATTTTAACAATGCAAACACTGATTATCTTGCAATTAAGATAGTAACATATTCTTAATAACAAAGATTGAATCATAAGTAATAAACAGATACTTGGTAATAGAGCATAAACATAAATGATGGCAGATAATGTTGGTCATCTTGCAATTCCTCATGATCAATTTACACATGAAACACAGACCTTTGTTTCATTATGAAATAAGAGTTTTATCTATTGGAAAGAAAAAATAAGCTACTGAAATGAAAGTCTATATTTTAAAGTTCTGTTATGTTGTATGAGGTATCCATGTTACTGTAACTAATGTATCTCTTGATGCAGTAAAATAACTACCAGGGGTCTGAATACCACAACAGCTTGAGTAAACAACAGAGAAATCATTTTCTCATTAGTGTGCTCTTTGATTTGTTTGCTACATAATTATGACTTGTCATATGATATAGGTTGATACATACTTCAAAGTGCAGATGAAACAAAAAATACTGTATCATTTTACTCTTGTTGGATACAGTGCTGAAATACTGAGCTAGAAACACTTAAGACTGGACTTAGAAAAATACATTAAGAGATATTAACCTTTCAGAGGGCTTTCAATTCTGGCTTTTCTTTTAAAAAAATGGTTTTACTTATTGTTTTGCTTGAGGAGACAATGCTGGATTTTGCCCTGGACGGTTTAGATTAATCATAGCTGTAGATATCAGTACTGTCCTATGAGGAGAGTAGTGAGTCAATGCAACCAGCACGTTAGAATTATTATACCATATATTCGGTTAACTCTATTAAACAGCAGGCATAATAAAAGGTTTAATATTAGTTACATGTAAAAATAGGCTTTCTTTTTATTTCTTTCTAGATTAACTTATCAGGTGAAAGTCAAGAATATATTAAATTTGTTACAAAATTACCTTTAACAATCATCTTGTGTGTTTTCTCTTCTGTATGATAGAAGCTGGTTCTTTATCATATTTTCTTGTGAGATGAACAAAGGTCTGTTATGAATGCTACTACCCTTCATAGAACATCGGTGTTCCTATATGCAGCTGTAAATCTACAGGAAAAAGGCAAACCAAAGTATTTTGTTGAGATATTAGATGAATTTTTAAAAAATCCCTCATTTATTGTTTTCATCTATGTCTTCTCCCACAGGCACATGGAAATAATGCACTGTCCCTTCCAGTCATTTTCCCTTCCTTACCAACTGATACCAGTAGTGTGCTTTCCCCCTTCAACAGGGACCAGACGTCACCCGGGGTTCTTTAGGGGAGTGGGTGGCAAGGGAAAGGCTGTTTTCTTTGTTTAATGGTACATGTCCACAGTGAGAACTCTGTGCTTTTCAGACTTCTGTCCTGAGGCTTCTACCAGAGATGCAAAGGATTTCAGATTCCTTTCATTTTTAATTGTTGGGAAAAGCCTGTGATGTGCAAAAGTTAACTCTTGTGCTATCTTTTGCTCTGTGTATGTGAATAAATTCTGCCACTGTTGTTGTCATTGGGAATTCTGTAAATACAGAAAGAGTGAGCCAAATTCTGTCATGGAGACCTTAGAAGAGAATTTTATTCTTCAAGTACTCCCTTATTCAAATACTCCCTTATTCAAATATTTGAATAGAAATATCGTGTAATGTGTACTCAGGAAACACTGTATTGATTTCAGTAGGTGTCATGCAGGACTGTAAGCAATCATGTACAAAAATAAACTTATTTTTGGAGATGACATCTTCAAAATTGCTTTCTGGTATGCCAGGAATCACTTTGCTATGACTGCAGTTGATGTTTCTAGTGAAAATAATAGTCTATGCAAAAGTCTGGTGAAGAGCAGAAATAAACAGAATTCCAGACTCTGTCTGTGTATGACAGAAAAACACAAAGAGAAAAATTATAAAGACAGATAAACAATGTGTGACATGTCTACAGCATTGTTATAATTAACTCATTAATAATCCTCTATTTGGAATGATAGCTCACTCTGTAACATGAGTTGAATAAATTCTCTTTGTAATTTACTGCACAGTAAGTTACTGCTGAGAAAGTAAATAGGAGGCAAAAAGGAACACACAAAACCAAGTTTGAGGTTAATTAATTCCTCGAGTTATTTGGCAGTCGTTTGGCTTCATGTTTTTATAAAATATACTGAACTAAATTAAAACTAGGGCCCAATCTGAGTGAAAGCTGAGAAGAAAAAGTGGATCTACTTCTTCTTTACACATACATGAACACATATACAATGAAATGCAGGCACAAACATGGACTGTTTTCTCCCATTGCTAAAACCCCTGCAAACTGGATGATGGTGTAGCTTCTGATTTTAAGTAGATCACAGAACTGAGACAGATGGATTAACTGAGATTTCAGGCAATACTAATCCATACAATCAGGCTATGTTTGATAATTTAACAGAAATTTATTTTTTCTTGTTGAATTACTGCTCTGTTATGACTCTTTGTTCTGCTTCTGTAGAGTTACACCTATGACCAGCTTTTTCCCACCTTTACCAGTGGCACTTGGCTCAAGTAAAACCACTGTAATAAAAACCCACAAAATCTGTTAATTTTCTCGGATTTCTGTGTTCTGTAGCTCTCAAGAAGCAGACTTCCCCCCCCCCACCACTATTTTCTTGCAGTTTCATATCTTTT